CTAGCTCTCTTGTTGTTCCAAACCTGTATGAGTTTCTTTCTTATGTTGAACACAAAATTGAGGAAGGTGGGTAATCAAAACAGTTTCTGGTCCTCATTGGCAGCCATAGTATTTCTTTCCCTACTATGGAAGTCAATGGGGACCAACAACTCTCTGGTACTTCAAAAATTTTCAAAATATCTTCTTTTGTGTTCAACGTAAGAAAGAAACTTATACAGGTTTGGAACAACATGAAAAAGAGTAAATCATAACCGAATTGTCAACTTTTAGCTTCATTCTGTGTATCCTCTCAATACCTTTTCAATACCATTTTGTTAAATTGTATCTATTATAGAATTTTGACTTCTTAGCTTGAAATACTTCAGACATATGTTTAGTTTAAAAGATGATCTGAATGTCTGTACTCATCAAGGAAGTATGGCAGCTGGTGTTCATTTCATGATTGGTGTTTTACCCTTTGCCACTGATATAAAAAACAGAAAGCGACTTGCCGCAGCAGCCAGGCTGGTCCTTGGAAGCCACGCAGTGGATGATGTTGCCATGACGATGTGAAGGGGTTGTCATGCTCAGGGAGTGGCAAAAGCAAAATGCCATCAATGGAAGGAGAACAAAAGAAAAATAAATTATAAGAATGATCAAATGGAGACCATCTGTATAACAGGCTTGTGATATAATATCAAAAGAAACAAAAAGAAACTCACAAACCTGTACTTAGTGAGCAGCTATATATATACACTAGTTGAGGTGGTCTCGTGCCCTCAGAACCCTTTGGGAGCATTAATGATGTTTATTAAGTGCTTTGTTGTGTTTTTGGGTGGGTGTGTGAACTAGAGTAAACCTGAACTCTAAGGCTAAAATGCTTTCGCCCACCACAGTCACCATTTGAGATATTTTCCCTGAGCTGATGTTTTTACTATTAGCGCCACAAACCAGTAAACTTTTGATTTCTGTCCTTCTCATGTGAATTACCTCTCCAGCAACCAGGTTGTCCTATGCTGATTTTATACTCGCTTTGGAAATATTGGGTTTGATTTTATGGATGGCGCAATATACAGTACCTGTATCACAGTATACCACAGTATCTGGTTGACACTCCAACACAGTTCTTTTGGCCATGATAATCGTGTTGTGAAAATCTGATATCTTGACGACTGTTGGACAGTTTGATTCCACTACTTAGCTGTCTTTGCGAGTCTCTTATTACATTCATTATATAATTTGGCTTAGAATCAAGGCATACATGTCCACTGTATACCACTATGTACAAATAGCAGCTATTTAATTGCGACTAAATGCGAGTTTAATTTTCCATTTTTCGCTTCTTCCATGTATTTTTTTATTCTGCATTTTCATGAACCCTTCTGGAGACCCTTGAAAAACCACTTTCACACCAGACAATATACTGTAAAAAATACTATAATCCCCTTTTCACAGAAGTCATGCTATTACATCCTAGTCAATGCTGTTTAAGCTTCTTCTTCTTCTGAGACAAGTTGGACTGTATCTCCTCTTAGATTTTTCAAGCTAGAACCACCAAACTCAGGTCAGACCTTAAGACTGGTATGACTCGGGTTGCGAGTCTTATCCGACTTATGATTTTCTTATGAAAATTTGACTTATGAAACAGACGATCAAAACTATGAAAAGTCCCATAGACTTTCATTGAGGGGGGTCAAAACATTTGTACAATAAGACTTACAGAGTGTTTAAGCCGTCTGTCACTAGCAAAGCTTAATGACTATCCTAGGACAACATGATAAATGATACTGTCAACATACTAAAACTTGTCAGTCATGCTAATCAAACAACATACATACTAGCAACATGATAATCATGTTAGAAACATATAAATCATGCTTAAAACATGCTAGTAGCATGATAATCATGCTAAGAACATGTTAACAACATGCTAATCATGTTAAAACACGCTAGCAACATGGTAATCATGTTTGGAACATGCTATTTATGCTAGAAACATACTATCAACATGTTAGCAACATGCTAATCATGCTAGCAACATGTTAAATCGTTAACAATGTATTAAATTGTGCTGCAACATGCTATAAACATCTGTCTAATCTATCTATCTAAACTTTCAAACTTCAAGCTTTTACAACTGCTTCAAACTTTCAGGTTAGGCTTTCTCAAGCCAAATCTAGTTTTTACTGCAGCGCATCTAATTTGTGATCATTTCAAATACATACATGCATGTGTATGTATTTGTATATACATAATAAATATACACAGTACACACACATATATTATGTAAACAAAAACTTTTATTTTGGATGCGATTAATTGTTTGACAGCACTAATATTTATTTATCAACAGTACTGATATATTGCAATAGTCTCATCAATACTTTCATCACTTTTTTTTCTTTGCCACTCACTCCATGCTGGTGTGAGGGATATTTAGAGCAACTCTGTCCACATGCTTGAAATGGTTGCATTGCCTTACAAACAAGAGAGAGTGAATTGCTGGCTCACAAAGAGACAAGGCCGAATCGATCACAACTGAAAGTGAATAAGCCATTGAAAGCGAAACAGCAGCGAGTGCTACATGGAGGAAATGCAAGCACTGTGCTGTAGCTTGATGCTGATGACATAGACAAGTGCTCTATTGCACTTATTAATGACCACCTCTGGTAAAAGCGCTAGTAGCATCTGCTACCAGAAACATATTCTCAACATTGTAAACAACTCTAGCTACAGTATGTCTTTGAATCTGCATGGGATCTGTTTGTATTTAGAAACGGATGTGTGCTAGAATGCTAATTCAAAGACTTCATGAGGCATAGCTTCAGATGTTCGACAGATTCATCATGCCATCAAATTAAGGATGTCCCGTAGGTTGCAACAACTCGGTGGGAATTTTTGAATTTACAGTGATTATAAAACTGTTGACTGTCGTAGCACATTTAATGTCTGTTACATTGGCCTGTGGGCTCACCATGCATTTGACAGGAAGGAAAATAAACAGAGCATTCTGCTACACAACTTCACTGCTTTTCAGGATCACAGTCAGGGTCTACGGGTGCTTTAAATACTCTATTACGATGCATCTTGAATTTCTAAAATATGTTAATATAATAGTGTTTACATCTGAAATTACTGTTTATGTCCTTAGGAATTATGTGTCCGAATTATGTGTCCTTCAAGAGTGATTTGTGAGATAGGTGTGCAACTTGATATCTTTACATGGTTTATGTGCAAACAAATCTGACTTTTATTCATCGTTTATGCTTTGTACAACATATAAACATTTTCTACTGAAAATATATTGAAGAAAATCTGATTATGTACCTAAAAGCACATTCAAAACTTTGGGTTTGGAAAAATGTTTAAAGGTGTCATATGACATTGCTAAAAAGAAAATCATGTTATGTATTTGATGTAATGAAATGTGTTTATGCGGTTTAAGGTTCAAAAAACACATTATTTTCCACATAATGTACATTATTGTTGCTCCTCTATGCCCCGCCTTTCTGAAACACGTCGATTTTTACAAAGCTCATCGTTCTAAAAAGCGAGGTGTATGCTGATTGGCCAGCTATCCAGTGCGTTGTGATTGGCCGAATACCTCAAACGTGTGACGGAAATGTTACGGCCCTTACCATACTGTGATGCCCTGTGTCCCGGCGCGACAAGACAAAAACAATAAACCCATTACAAACGAGGCATTTGTTGCATCCAGTGGTGTAGAATCGAATCGAATCGTGAGTTGAGTGAATCGTTACATCCCTACAGTGGGGACATAATTACTGATTTTAATGATGTTTTTAATTAATGTCTTTTTATGCGTTGCGTTTCGTATCGTATACAAACGAACATGGAACAATACATTTATTAATCTGTGTTAATGTTATTAATAAAAAGACAATCGTTCAGTGTTTGTTCATGTTTTTGTTGCTGTTACGTGACGTAGCGGTGTCTGACTAGGGACGAGACGTGGGCTGATTACGTCATCGTTTCAGAAAATATACGGATTCGCTGTCCACACGAAAACGCAAGGGCGGCGTTTTCAGAATTATCCACTCTGGGACCCGGTTTCAAAAAATATCGGTTTCACTCTCCCAAAATGCCGGATCCGTCTGGACGAAACGCCTATACGATACAAAATGAATGCGTATACAGCTAAACGCGTCTCCGTGTGGACGGGGCATAATATGCTGATTAGTGAACTCAATAAACATTTCTAATTATCAATGTTTAAAACAATTGTGCTGCTTAATATTTTTGTGGGAACCATAAAACCGCTACATGCATTTTTGTGTTGTTGCACAGTTACCCAACGGTTTCTTCTATTTCCAACTCAAGACAAAGTCTCTGCCAAAGCCGGTTTTCAAAATGGCCATCCTGGATGTCAATTGATTATGATTATGGCTAAGAAAAGCAGTTAATAGTCCTGATTTTTTAAGCAGCCTCCTTTCATGCTCCCTGTGGGTAAATTTGATTAGAAATAACCCCCTCCAAATAACATCAAAGGCTATGACTAATGTTTTTTTTTTCCAAGCAGATTTTTTTTTTTTCTGAAGAAAAATATTGCTATTTTGAATAAAGATGTTTTTCCTCTAAAACATTATTGATGCATTTGTTCTGTAGTTCCTGCTGATTTTACATCAGCTTTGGAAGCACATTAAAGGATGGGAAAATAATTGTGTTTTCCCACTCATTATTCATTACCAAAACATCAATAATGCACGCCAAAAACAACATTTATGAATACAAACAAGTAAAATTAGGATATTTGTACTCATGGAAAGCCATTTTCATGTGCTTTAGAAGTGAACTGCAGTTAAAGAATAACATAATTTAGCAGAAAATGGCATTTTTATATTGACACATGCTCAACAGAATTGCGTTGCATACTTAGTGTTGCCAGAAGAGGTGCTACAGTGAGCATTATCATAAACTCTGTTTTCCTATGGTTATTTATTTATGCTAAATAAAATGAGATGCCACTGATAGATCTTCAGTTAACTCTTTTCTGTTTTCAGCTGAACAAGCAGCAGTTGCAGGTGGTGAAGGAGCGTTTCCAGGCCTTCTTGAAAGGAGAGACGCAGATCGTCGCAGATGAGGCTTTCTGCAACGCTGTGCGCAGTTACTATGAGGCAAGACTCTCTGATTTTCATTTCTATTTCAAATAGACTTTCAAAGTCTTTGGCCATTAGGATGTGACCAAAATGATTACAGCTGGAGTTTTGATGAGGAACGAACTTCACAACCATTAAAAACTTGTTTTATATACACTGTAAAAAGTACAGACGGGGAAGTTGTGGCCTAATGGTTAGAGAGTTGGACTCATAACCCAAAGGTTGTGGGTTCGAGTCTTGTACCGGCAGGGATTGTAGGTGGGGGGAGTGAATGTACAGCGCTCTCTCCCACCTTCAATACCACAACTGAGGTGCCCTTGAGCAAGGCACCGAACCCCCAACTGCTACCCGGGCGCCACAGCATAAATGGCTGCCCACTGCTCCGGGTGTGTGTTCACGGTTTGTGTGTGTTCACTGCTGTGTGTGTGCACTTTGGATGGGTAAATGCAGAGCACTAATTCCGAGTATGGGTCACCATACTTGGCCACATGTCATGTCACTTCACTTCACTTCACTTCACTTCAAAAAACATTTTCGAAAGTTGTAAATAAAGCAAAGATTATTGACGTGTTGTACAAAAAAACACTTTTACTTAAATTTTACATTTAATTTAATGTGTTGCCATTTTTTTGTCAAGTTTCCAATTGAGGAACTTTTTGGAAGTAGTAGGTCCTCCAGGTACTTTTCTCCAACTATGAATTCTTACAGACTAGTATTTTCACATACTGTTTGTGCCTACTACTGTATATAGTAGGGGAGTAGGCATATTCAGACATTTATCAGTTGGACTGCTTATATGTGTGCAAAAAGTGTGGGAGATAAACAGTTAGCAGGTGCATCTGTATTTACAGCATAGCTGCCTGGCTGTCCTTATTGCGCTTGAATTTTCAACCCAACCCAAAGATATATCTCTGCCAAATCTCTTGCTCAAATCCGGTGAAGGAAATGCACTTTTTAAGTGCCTTTTTTCAAGTTATGTGGATCTCGTCCGAAAGCAAGTGTGACTAAAGGCTGGAATACACTACATGACTGTTTTTATGATGATTTTAAAACATTAGGCATCATACACTTGCTGACTTTGTAAATGCTTACAGAGAAAAAACTGGCATCATACACTAAACGACTGAGAATCACGCAACTACCAGACTCTCAAAGCGTTCTGAACATGACGAACTCATGCAGAAACACATCTTGCTGTTAGATGCATGACGAATGGAAACAAAAAAAAAAAAAATGCTCAAAATATCAAACATGATAATCTTCAGGTTGGATGGAACCGAAATCTGAAGCCCAAGTCTGTGCACAATGTAAGATCTGTCAATTCCAACTGCGTTTTTTTTATTGGTGAGATTATAAATGGTGCCTGAAGGAAAGTTTTTAAAAAGTGATATTCTTTAGTGTCTCTTTTCTCTTAGCTGTTGAACCAACCTACAGAAATCCCAGATCCAAGAAGAGAGATTTTTTTTAAACACCCACAGGAGAAATGCCTGGAGCTTTGTGCTTTGGTCAGCTGATAAATTATTGAGAATTGATTGGCTGAATTCTGTATGTGGAATACTGCTCGAGTGGGCTTTTCTTCAATTGCTTTACCTACCTCCACGCTGTTTTTTTTTCTTTCAGACAGTCACTTTTTATGTTTATTCATGTCTTTCATGTTCGTTTAATGGTACGATGAGGCATGCAATGTTTCCAGAGAATAACGAACAGGCACAACAGATGGTCCGCTGAATCAGACCGTATCAATGTACAGTATATTCATCAAACAAGCTTTTGGAGTCAGTGCTTTTACCTTTCATATCTTACATTGTCAGTCACCCTCTTTCCTGCTTTCATCACTTTCTCTTAATTTCTTTTTTTTTTCAGAATAGGACATGCCTATCATGTCCTAATAGGATCATCATATCATATCAGTTGACTCTCCGCTCTATTAATTGCACTGGATGGGAAGCAGCTCTTTGAAGTTGAGTCTGATAGTCGCTTTTGCACATGTCGAGGACTCTGGGTTGGCTGATCAAAGTTCTCTATTGTCATTCACTGGCCATCGTGCTCATATCAAAGCATCTCTTTTTGGGTTCTGTGGAGGCATTTTTGTAGCATACGCCAAAGTGTGCCACCAGGGACTTGTGGACACTGTAGGAGTTTATTTGTGGTTCTATAGTGAACATTGTTTAGAAGATGAAGAGGAGCAAGAAATGACTGATAGGGGTTGCACTAGTAGTTAACGGCTTGGTTAGTTTATCACTAGTTTTATTGCATTCTAGTTTTGTCACATTGCATCACTTTAAGTGCAGAGAGTAAAAATGGGTAATCATGCAACCTGTATCAATCAAATCAAACCAACCAGCTACGATGTGAATTACAACATTTGAAGCAAAAAAGTATTTGAAAATTGGACAAAAGTCAAAAGGTACATGACTGTTTACATAATGGCTTTAATGAGGGAAAGAACTACAATCCCATGAAGCATTGCAAATGATATAATCAAAATAAGCAATATATTTACAAATATTTAAGTAGTTTAAAAGCGTAGGGAAGATTCTATTACATTATTTACAGTGTTACATTGAACTGAAGTGTTCTTTTGATGCATCTTTTGTTTCTTTTGATTGGTGGAGATATCTCTGCAGAGTCATGGTTATAGTTTTTTTTTCACCAGGAATTGGGCCGTTAAACGTTAAAAAGTTGGAATAATGCAGGCTGATTGCTTCAACAAAAGCATATACCATCGATTAAAAACCTCTTACCTCACAGCAGGTCTATCTTTTTAAAGGTTAATAAGTTATTCTTAAAAATCAATTGCCTATTGAGAATATTTTTTGTTAGAGTCTATTGTATGAGGAACTCATTACATCAAACATCCTGAAAGCTGTTTATACTTTCAAGTGGCGCACTTCCAGATACAGAAACATTAGAAAAAAAGGTTCAAACTAAATTGTTTGTGCTTTTTATGATACAGAGCTCCAAAGCCACACTTTGCACCGTATGTCATTTGATTCTTGTTCTTGTTCTTTGATTCATTTTTCTTGTTCCTTATGTACAATTTTGACATCCAGGATGTAGGCGGCTACATAAATTAAAGATTAATTTTGAATGAATTAACATTTTGCCAATGGTTGTCTCATACATTTCACACCTAGACAGAAATATTTTTTATCCTTCTGAAACACAGTCATGCAGAATAACTTTGAGTGCTTTATCATCTGCAGTATGAAGTAAATATAGACCATCTAAACATCTTTTTCCACTTCTCACCTCGGGTCAAACAGAGTTTCGCTTTTTCCAGTCTCTTTCTCTTGAAGTTTTGAAAATGTTCGTTCCTTTCAGTTCGATCTTTGAGGTCCAGCTCAGCTTCATTAGACTCCAGAGATCTTCATTACTAGTCTGTCAGTTGAACATTTCAGATTGCTTAAATGCTGTTCTCACTGACAGGATATAAATGTCTTCCTCCTGTAGTGTTAGAAATATTTTAAAGGTGACTGTGAGGGAAAGGGTTTAATTTACCTGTCTAATTTTCCATTGTTTATCAGTCATCTTGCCAGTAATTTTTCTGTTGTGTTTTTTAACTGCTTTCGTAATATTTAATAATAGGCTATGTAAATAATAGGGTTCAAGAGACCAAGCTATATTGTCAGCCATGACTCTGTGAAAAAGTGATATTAAGTATTAACACATATTAAAATATAACATTGTAATACATTTTAAATATTACAAATGTTTAAATGTAAATTTTTATGTATCATAAATATTACATTTAAGAATTTAATGTTAAATTGCATATTTTTAGTAATTAGAATTATTGCTGTATATATTTCCTAAATAAGAATGTACATGTATGATTCCAAAATAAATATTAAAATATAATATTGTATTAAATTGTAAATATAGCAAATGTTTAAATGTAAATGTTAATGTATTATTAAATTAAATATTAAATGTATTAAATATAAGTATTTAATATATCAAAATATCAATGTTTAGTAAAACATTATTACTTTTGGCCATGTAAATAATATAAGAAATAATAGAGACCAAACTATTGTCAGTCATACTCTGTGAAAAATAAAAATTAAGTATTAACATGGTATAATTTTTTTTTTTTTTAAAGATTTATTTTTGGCGTTTTATGCCTTTTATTTAGATAGGAGAGTAGGTCGACAAGAAGCGAAGTGGGTGGGGGGGGGCGGATCGGGAAAGGTCCACGAGCCGGGACTTGAACTCGGGACGCCCGAAGCGCAAAGGCGCTATATGTCAGCATGCTGCCCACGAGGCCATCGGTGCCGACTTATAAATTGACATTTATTACAATGTTATATTTTAATATTTTAAATATTACAAATGTTTAAGTGTAAATTTTAATGTATCATAAATATTAAATGTAAGAATGTTATATATTAAAATGCAAATTTTTAGTAAAACACCATTACTGCTTGAATATATACTTCCTAAATAAGAAGGTATAATTCCTAAAAAGAATATTAAAATATAATATTGTAATAAATTGTAAATGTAAAAAAGGCTTATTAATATTAAATTAATATTATAGTAATAAATAATGTTAAACATAAATATTAAATATATCAGATATAAGGATTTAATATATTAAAATATCAATGTTTAGCCTAGTAAAACATTATTACTGCTAGACAATACAATTCCTAACATGTAAGCCTACTTAGTTAAGGTTAATAGCAGCTAAGTTTAAAGGGTGTTTGGTGTAACAAAAACCTGCTCAGTTAGCTGATATTATATTAAATTAGTAGGTTACATTGTGTATTGACCAATCAGCATCTAGGACATTCCAGGTAAAGATATTCCAGGTAAAGTTCCATGTAACCTTAATTAAAGGGGTCATATGATGTTGCTAAAAAGAACATTTATTTTGTGTATTTGGTGTAATGTAATGTGTTTATGCGGTTTAAGGTTCAAAAAGCACATTATTTTCCACATAATGGTTTCTCCTCTATGCCCCACCTTTCTGAAACGCGTCGATTTTTACAAAGCTCTTTGTTCTGAAAAGC